CGAGATGAGGGATAAATGTATAGTCGTTGCGGATTGCCATGGGTTCATTGATTCGGTATTTGAGGCCTTCAAGTTACAATCATATGAATTCCTCGTCATCACAGGATTCGAAAGCGAGGTCTACAAAGCGTATGCTAAGAAATTAGGCCTCAAGTTACCAGTCTCCATCAACTCCGGAATTGGACAAAACAGTTTTATTGCGACTGTCTTACGGGACACACTCGGTTTGTCCTCCATGGACCGATCAAGATCATCTTCAAAGCAAGCTCTTTTAGCTGACCGGTAGGTAGACTGACCGGCAACTAATGGGAATAGTTTAATTTATACATGTGCACTCACTTGGTGGACGCGCCTGAAGATTTTCTCCACACAGCGGGCAGGGCCCATTGCCGCAGCGATAACGGTGATATGGAAGTCGGTCATGTTAATAACACCAATCAGCAGGGTCAGTTGCCTGGCCAGGGAGACCACAGGGAACAGCGTCATTTGATGTCGAACGCCACCGTGGTCGGTTGCGGTTGCCATCTAACACCAGAGGCTGGTTGTCATGTGCACTAATTGCATTTTGACGCAACATCAGCTGGCTTTGAGCAATCAGGCGCTTCATGCACCCAGTAGCCTTACGCGATTCCAGCAGCTTCAATTTGCCAACCAACCTATCAAGCTGCTCGTGCAGACGTCCGGAAAATGTCTAAAGAGTGCTATCTGCTGCGTTCAAGAAAAGCACAGGTGACTGTATCTGCCACTCTCCGATCCCACCGGCAGCACGCGACCGCACTCTCAAAACTTGGCTATGATGGACGACATGTCATCTAAGAAATCGACTAAAAGGTAACCAACGGCCTGCTTAACAATAGGGGGCCGGTATTTGACGCGATAGTTACGCATATCCTTGATGGTGAGTACCTTTCCAAAGTGGTCGGCGACGTACTGCCGAGTCTTCGACGACGGAGCACCGTATTTCAAAATGGTAGAATGCTCCTTTAATTCATCATTTGTAGGTCGCCGGTTGATGGGGAGCCTGTCAAAAATAAAATTGCTACGTGGATGGCTGTGCTCCGGGTATTAGGAAGTAATCCTCAAGCAGTCATGGTACCGGCGAACGTAGAACCTTGCCGGACGATCAGTACGACGTGTGCTACAACGTACACAAAACTTACTAGATGCGACGATTTCCACGACTTCGGCTTCGTCTGCAGGGATGTCTGCCGCAACGGTAGAAGGGTTTTCATACAAAAGTAGCGAATTGCTGCTCTTTTTGGAGTTTATACGGACGAAAAAAACGCAATGTTTCGTCTGGTACCCTTTCAAAGGGAACTGAAATGCACTGAATGAGAAAAAAATTTGACGAGCTTAATTCT